CTGCCTCTGATAGAGTAGCAGCCTGCCCCAGACTGAGGAAGACTTCATCTGTCTAGCGTGCCTGCCCTTGTTAGGAATAGCTGACTCAGACTTTTGATCAAGACAACAGCCTGATTTCTGACCTGGACTGCTGGCAGATCAGCTGAAAGCTCTCTGTGTCCATGGAGGCTAAACTTATCTTGACGGGTAGGTAACTATTTCCTCCAGTAATAAAACAAACAAGCAAGAGAGTAGAAAATTTGTTACAGTAGATGGTTGTGAGCTGTAAGAATTAATTCTCAGGATTTCATTTCAGCACGCTATAGTTTTCACTTTGCAGATAGCTTCTATTGGCCACCAGCATACTTTAAGCTCAGCTTATACTTAGAACCAAATAAATTAAATGCATTAGGGGCTAAGAAGAGAAAGAATTAGCATGGACTGGGGTAGTTAGAGAAAGCTTCATGGAGGAGGTGGAGTGCGACCTGGGCCTTGATGTGTAGGTAATTCAGACAGACAGTGAGGAAGAGAGTATGCATTAATGACAACCCTGTGGGAATGGAAATGCTCGTGGCACATTTTAGACATAGTAAATACTCACCTGGTTCACTCTAGAGCTCCCTATCCTTTTCCCCTTCCCACTCACATTCACATATGACACCACCACCTTCATACCCCACCCCACAGGGAATACATTAGTTCTTTCATACGAAAGGAAGAACATTCTTTCATATATATTGACATTCAGGAGAGAATTTCATAGCTGTCACTAAGTACTTTTGATATTTTCTAAGACTTGCTTCTTCAGGGTGTAAGGAGCCTTTTAAAACTATTAGGTCTCAAGTGACAACATTGACAACTTTAGCTCTTGAGTGGTTTAGGAATAGTTAATGAAATATAACTCCTGAATTGAAACAAAGTCTGTCATTGTGCAAACAAGGACAATTTAAAAAAATAAGCAGGAAGTGCAGGCAGAGAGAAGGACGGATCTAGAAATGTTCTATTTGATAGGAAAAACCAGAACATTTTCATAGAGAAAAGACAGTAAGTTCCCAAGAATTTTCAGTATAAAAGACTCTTTTTCACTAAATTGTGTGTCTTATCTAAAATCCTACTTATCACAACTTCAAAAGATATTCTGATGGAGGCATTTTGCAGAAGACAGTTTCTAAACATTCATCGCCAACACTTCCAGGATTTCTAGCTTTGTGTAAGAGAAAACAGTCAAGGGAAGAGCTACAGAAATAAAAATACAACCTCAGGAACATGATGTAACCAGGGGAGAAAAGCTCCCTTTGTTGGAGTTTGACTTTTGAGCTGAAGCAGACAGAATGGCCAAGATGTCTCATTATTTACTATGTAAGAGGTATCATGTAGGTGTGATCAGCAGGTGTTCTCTACTAATAGAGATCAGGATTTTGGCATGGGGTAGACTAACCTACTCAATGAATATGAATAGTTTAAATAAATTAATTAATATTACAGAGTATTATTTAATCAGTCACTTCGTGATGAATAAATATACTACAGACTTTTCAAACGATAAACACCTAAGAATTCTACCTGTAGAGCATGAAATTGGATGTGAGTATAAATTGCAATTATTCACCACGTGAATATTCATGAATATTCACAAATATTCACGAATGTGGCCAGTTGAACTACTCATTCTCTTTCTTCCAAGAAAACTCTGATTAATAATCAACTTTTTCGCTGGTATGAAGGATATTCAATACTTCACTAGCTACGTCCTCTTGACAATCATACATATACTTCTCATGTTTTCCCTGTCTTTTGACTCTCAGAGCTTTTAATTAGCACACCTCTCTCTCTTTCATTCTCTCTCCTTCCAGCATTTCTCCAGTTACAATTTGTCCATATGTCAATTTACAGACAATTTTCCATTCCTGTTCATTTCTCTTTATCTTTTGTTTAGGGTACCATGAAAGTACTCTTGGGGACTTGGATCCATTGAGAGCATACAATTAAGTCTCAGGTGATTAGCTTAAAAGTTGCAGGAACTAAAATTAATGTTCTAAAACAATTTCAATGTTCAATAGTTAAGAAAATTGCTTTTAAAGTTGCCTGGAAAATGTACTTATATGGAATAGGTTATTTGCTGATTTTGCCAAGTCTATAAAGCACTACTGTACTTAAAAGAATTATTGAAAGAGCATTTATTAGGATTTCTTAGTCTCCTTGAACAAGTAGGTCTTATGCACCTCTAAATATTAATCATGTTTCTGTTTATTTTATGGCTTTTTTTCTAATAAAGAGTCTTTACTGAAATAAGTAAAATATAGCTAATACAAAGAGTAGTACATTTTGTGTATTTCATGTTGTATATAAAGAAAGTGAGACATAAAGAGGTCAAGGGCAGATGGTGTGATTTCCTGTTCCCCAGAACAGATGCTTAGCAAGTATCTATGTTTACCATATATCTATGATTATGCGCTTATCACCCACTTGACCTTGAAAATCATATAAAATAGAAGTGTATTTTTAAATATATGTACCAAACTTTAATTTTCATTTCACACCCAAAACTTCTGTACAAAAAGAGGCAAAGCGAGCAAAAAAAAAAAAAAAAATTACAATGACTTTAGCAAACAACATATGACAACTTTAAAACAGCTTTGTGTATGCAATAGCCTTGATAGATGTGTGGGGAAATTGGGCTCCAAAGTGTTTGTTTAAGATAAAATTCCAATATTTATTATTAACATCTAGAAAAACTCACAGCTGTCTAAGATACAAGATTAAATGAGAAGTCTCTGAATTCTACTGGATAATTGGATCCAAATTTTAAGTAGCCTTCGTTTTTCTTCCAAGGAAGTATGCAATTATTTTTACTTAAATGTAATATCAAAAACTTCAATTTACCATTAACATTTTGATATAATGGTGATCACTAGGAGCAAACGCTGATGAAGCATAATATTAACTAATAGTTAAAAGATAGTATCCAAGACTTCATTTCTTGTTGTTATTTAATATCCCAGCCCAAATGGGTCACCACGATTCAAACATCTATTGCCACTTGTTTTTTTACTCCTAATTCCTTGTGGCACATGAAAGGGTTTTCAGAACAAAGTTATAATGCCAAAAGAGCAGTGCATCTGAGAAATGTAATTTTCACCTTGTTGCTTGCCCCCAAATAAATATTTGAGTAGTGGAAGACACTTTATTTGAAAACTAAGAGACATCAAATATGAAATATAGTTAACATTGACATGGATTCAGTAACTAGTGCTTTCCCCTAAACCACCTGTGGGTCTTGGACACATGTGCATGCAGCACAAAAGACATGATTGTTCAAGGACTCTTGATGCCTGGAGGACAGCCTATTAAAAGAATATGTCTCCCACAATAGCTCTGGAGTGGACCCAAGGTCCATCGCCTGTTAGTGATCACAGACATTCAGTTAACCTGTCCTCCCAATAATCAGAAGCAACAGTTCAGACCCTGGGCTTTTGAAAAGCCATGTACTGGTGAATTTTGGCTTTGAGACAAGATGGCCTGGCTAAATCGGGGCAGGCCAGCAGCCCCTCCACTATGTTTGGTCCCTTTTGATAGAAAGTCTAATTAAAAATTATAAACGTGCTCAACTATTTACTCTACAAGTTCATTCCTCTCTCTAAGACTGATAAATCTCCTCACTTGATAGAGGAGGAAAATGGACCCAATGATGAAAAACATTCAGGGCCTCTATATTTCTAATCTTGACAGTTGTTGCCCAAGGATAATTTATGGTTTCCAAATAGAACATCTCTTAAGCTGAATATTTAATGAATTTGTTCACCCAGTGTTACGATTTTCTGACTTCCTCTGGGATTTTAGAATCTCTAGGTTTGAAAAGGTTTGAAGGCCATCTACTGCATTTCAGTTTTGATGAGATAACCACCATCCAAGCAGCTGTTCTGGTTCAGCTTGAAAAGCTTGAAGGCAAAGAGTCTTTCCTCTCTCTGCTGACTGACATTTAGATATAGACACCAGAGACTCTCTTCTGCCACCTGACTGGATTTCTTGGCTAAAGATAAAACAAAACAAATGTGTCTCCCCTTTTCTTAGAGGACTCAAGGGAAGGCCAGCCAGCCACTAAAGTCTAAAAAGCACTGGTGTGACAGTTCATTTCTTGGACATTGTGAATGACTCCAAGTTCTGATATACTCAGACCCAACTTTGGAATTACCATTCATTGGGTAATCTTCCCGTCTAACAGAAATAGCTAAGTAATTATATAGATCAGACTGAGGATTGATTTTGAAGTACCCAGTCTCATCCCATAGCATGCATGCATAGTCCACATGGTGAAAAAGAAGGAGCATGGAGTCCGGAGTGAGGCATCCTGGGTTCTAGTCCTACACTGGGATGGGTGGGGGTGATCCTATTTGACTTCATCCTCTGTCTCGTTTTTCCATCGCAGATTAGATTTCCAAGATTCCATTCTGAGCTCTCATCTGCAGACAGCATGACTCTAGGCTTTGTCATATTGTTAATCATCAAGATAAAGTGGGTGATGCTTACAGGACTCTACTTACTAAGGAAGAACGTAGGAGTCGGTCATTTTAATGACTCATAGCCTTATAGGGCTCTTGGAGATGGTCTGTTTTCATTGTCCATGAGAGAGGTGAGACACAGAGAGCTTAAGAGAATTTCCCAAGATCATGCTGTGAATTAAGAGGGCTGGGACTAAACTCGGAAACTCCAAATAGGCTGTACGCTTTGCACAGTGGAGTCAGAGAGGAGCTGCCTTTCAAATACCAGGTAACTAGAAAATGTAGATGTTTTCCCCCTCCAAATTACCCCAATTTTCCAGTAATTAATGAAGACCTCTGTTGTCACATGAATGATCCACAGAGAACAAGGCTCCTATTAGGAGGGGCTGTGTGCCCAGCACTCTGCAAACAACTGTAATATCGGCAAACGTATCCACAATTTCAAAGCCAGAGCTCCATTCCCTGTCCCTGTGGACAGAGGGGTGAAGCAAACAGATGACTGTCCTGTTGCTCTTCTTCTCAACATGTCCCCTACTTCCAAGACAACTTCATTAGCCCACCTGTGACAGCACACCTATCTATTCTTGCTTCTCTCTCACTAACTGATTCAAACACAGGTGGTTTTTCTCTTGAAAATCTGAAAAGAAACTTTTGAGGGCTATAAATTCATAACGAAAGAGAATATGCTGATGAATAAAATACGTGCAAACAGAAAGATTGCACATGTTTGCAGTCTGAGGAAAGAGAGGGGGCGTGCTGAATTCAAAATACTTGGGTTGGAGTCTCCACATGCATCTTTCTTTTCTTGGATTCCTCTCTCCCTCTGTCAGAATAACAGTTATGTTTCTTGTAGCTGAGCCGACACGTCAAATCAAACAGTTTGTGTTTCTATAACCATACTTCCCAGAGAGACTACACACCTAGAAGTGAAACATGACCACAAACTATTAGCATTTTCTGATTGTTACAGGTGTAGTTAAAGGACTCCAGTAGCAAAATTCGGTCTCAAAATTTTGCCTTTGGAGAAGGGGATTTTGTTTTAGACATCAAAGGTAAGGCTCTCAAGTCAATTGATGCTCTGCTGGGTTGAGTCAGTCAAGATACAAAGTAAGGTCCATATATTTCAATGACAAGAAGGAAACGGTTATGTAAATACACAAGTATTAACATCAATCTGTATTAAATTATGTAAACATATACATCTTCTGAGGTCAGTACATAGATCCTCTTCTTTAAGCAGAGTTTTACTGAAGCATTGCTCGAATTTGTTTGGAAGTCGATTCATCATTCAAGTGCTTTGTAGTGAACCTGGATGGAGAGAAAATGATGGAGTTCAGTGTGTAAATAGTGCTCTGTGAAAGCTTCAGTAGTGGTGCATCGCTTTTGGGAGACACAGCAGATATGTATAAATCATACTTGGACTTGGTTCTTCAGACAGTGAGCCACATTTCAGTGCCCAGTGTGTTTTCAGGCAGATTGAATATCTGACACTTCCTTCCAAAGGAATTTTGTATTATGGTCATTAAACAAGTAGATCAAATAATCAAACAATTACACAGAGGAATTATAAGCAGTCTCATTTTCTAGAGTAGTAGACGTCATATGATTGAGTGCAGAATCTTGGCCATCTAGGCTACCCCTGCTAAGTCATGAATTTAAAAATATGGGTTTGCATAAGCAATGTTATCATTTAAACATTTATGGTTTTCTACTTTCTGGGCAACACTTATCCTCATTGCCACCACAAGGGGGCACAAATGCGGGTGAATGAACCAAAGAAAGGGATGCAGTCTGCATCCCCTCATTAACTTGGTGTAGAAATAGTTTATGAAAAGGAAGGAAAGTAGAATTAACGTGTAAAACAATGCTGACTGTGTCCTAGGCTCTTCATGTAAGTGTTATTTCATTCACACTAACTCTTTACAGAAGAGGTTATTTGCCTCCATTTTACAGATGACAAAACTGAGATTCAGAGAGGTTAAATGACCCATTCTAGATCATAATATGGCAATGCATGATTTGTGAAAAATTTGCGATTTCTGACTTGGACACAGGTCTGGCTATCTCCAAAGCCTGTGTGCTCTCACTTTCTCACAGTGCCCACAGGAGACACAAATGCCAGCACTCAGAGGGGACCCACGGCATACCACAGTGCCCTGCTCTCAATGTCTTGCTTCATTGAATGAAGCTGGAGAGTTCAAAAACTTCAGGAGCTAGTCTTCTTACTGAGTACGAAAAATCAGACTGGTGTGGCATGGGCGCCGTTGGAGAAAACCTTGGTCAACTCACAGAATCTGGATGGCTCTTACATTAATGCTACATCTATCCTGAAGAATGACCTAGAAGTGCTACAAAACAGGATCAATCTCAGTGTCCAGTTTATTCATTTCATGTGCATCTCAGTTTTTTCATTTATTAAATGGAGATCATAGATCAGCCTATATCTCTGAGTTGTGATGATTAAATGAGAATGTGACTGAGAGTAGAGTATAAGACATAAGTGTTGTACCTAGGTAGAAGGTGATTGATCCATTCCACTATACTTATTGAACACTTACTGCACGTACGACGTTGAGTGAAACTGATGGAAATCAAAGATGAATAAGACAGCAGAGACCATAAACCTTTCAGATTACAATCCAGTATCGGGATGTAGGATTCAACAAATTCCTATATGTGTCACAGCTAAAAAATGGGAATCCCTTCCCAGAACTGCAGTAAACACATGTATTCTTGGGAAGAGAGACATACTTGAGAATCTAGACAGTGTGAAGCAGAGTTCTCAGCATTGGCGGCTGCATATGTGAAGACCCAGGAGCCTCAGAAAAACATACAAACAGAAAATGGATGCTTGAACCCCCAACCTAGAGATTCTAATTCATTTGGTCTGGGTTGGACCCTGAATGTCAGTTTTTCAAAAACTACCGACATAATTCTCAAGGGCAGCCAGGTATGGGAGCCAATGGTGAAGGGGGAAGTGAGACCTGGGAAGCTGCTTTTACTGGCGAGTCCAACCATGACCGCAAAGCCATGTAGCTGGAAGTTATAAGGTCTTTGACTTCTCTAAATCTCAGTTTCTTCCATCTATAAAAAGGAGCTGATAAAAATGGTGCTAACCTCAACATGTTGTTGGAAAGAATAAATGCGTTAAAATATGCTAGAGGTTGAGCCTGGTGCTCCAGCTCCTCAATCTCTGTTAAAACAACATCTAAATCTACAAGGAATCTAAAGGATTCGCTGCCCCTGGGGCTGAGGCTCACCTGAGGGCGTTCAGCAGCCCCTCCACACTGTCCGGGGCCTGTTCCTTCAAAACCTTTATGCAGCCTTTCATCTAGGAAGAGAGAGCACAACATTTTGTTAATATCTTGGTAATTCTGTCCAAAATAATATCTGTCTATTATAACATCTGTCCATAAAATATCACATTATTTCTGCCTATAGAAATCAAGCACAGAAATGACCAATAGACCTTCCTAACCCCTCAGGCCAGTGAGTTGCTCCTCTGTGCTTCTAGAAGGTTCTGTATCAGTTTTTGTATTATACAGTGATTAAACATTTTCCATATCTGGCATTTAGGGACAAAGACTTGAGCCTTTGATTTTCTCATCTTATACTCCAGAGCCAAGTACAGGTCTTTTCCTCCAGTCAGTGCTCAGTGGAGATTGACTGAATAAATTACAAAACTAATCATTTTATGCCATCCCTCTGCCCAGGATGTCTTTCTTCCTTCAGCTGTTTGACTGGCAAACTCTAAATAAGCTTTTCAGGACTCAGCTAAAGACCACAAATACCAGGAAGCCTCTTCTGACTGAATTACCTTCACCAGGTAGAAATGACCATTTCTTTGTATTCCCAATCGTATGCTGGCATTTATGAGGGAACTTTAGAGATTTTAGTGCTCAGATTAATTTGCCTTCCTCACTAGACCAGGAGAGGATTGGTACAGGACAGTGGTTAGGAATGTGAATCAAGTGGAGGCAGAATGTCGGGTTTCATAAATCCTTGCTTGTTTAGTATCTTCATGAACATTGGCAAGTTTCTTAGCTTTTTGTGCCCTTGGATTATAATTTATCCATAATTTGGGAAGATGATGAAAACTAAATTTATATTGATCACAATATATTATGCACATCCTAGGTTACTATTATTATTATTATTATTATTATTATTATTACGTAAAGGAAGACTCTGCAAAAAGTACAGTCATTCATTTTAAACTCAGATGCTCATGCACTATATTAGATATGGGTATACTAAAGGGCTTCTTTTATAATGGTCACTTATAAATATTTCCTGAGGGTATATTTCTGGTATATTGAAAGTTTTTCTTAAAAGCCTGATAAATTCTGATAGATTGATGGAGGCAGCCAAAGCACAGGGTTGAGAATCATTTGGGGGTCATATATAGGCTCATCATGAAAAAGAATGTCATGGTCAATCAGAGATGTCTGTCATGGGTGCAGGATGAGATCAAGCTCAGAAATTTGGTTCCTCTCCCAATGGAGCTCATAGTCTAGTGGGAGAATAGAGACAAATAGCTCATTATCATAGTGTGATATTTGTTCTTGTAAAAAATGTCAAAGGAGCAATGCGAACATAGATTTGAAAAGGGGTGGGAGAGCCGTGGGTACCCTTTGGGGATTTCTAGTTCTATTTCAGGCTGATTAAAATCTTATATGTGAATAAGATGCAGTCAGGGATGTAGTGAGGGCCTGATTCAATGTGGATTTAATTGTATGGTAGGGAGTTGGGGGCCTTTACCTGTAGAAAACACCCTTGACAGGTGTTAAATAATCTAGCAATGTGACTAATATGGAAATGGATCAGAGGAAGCAAGAATGGAGACAGGAGGACCAGTGAGAGTCCCCAAGGGTGTGGAGTGTGACAGCAGCAGTGATCACGGAGAATCAGGGAGATATGGAGGATTAATCTGAGGTCCAGTCCATAGGACATGGTGACTTGATAAGATATGGGGGTGAAGAAGAAGGAATAAGACAGTTCCTAGGTTCTGAGGGGCAATTCCAGGTTTCTGGCTTTAAGACTGTGTTGGAGGAAGGTGAAAAACCTGAGACAAGAACTCTGGAGGAGGAACAGCTCTGTGGGCAAAGGATAACCCTTGATTTGAAAATGGCCATGTTTCAGGCGTCCGGAGGAAGTGAGGTCTGGAATTCTGAATGTAGAGGGGACCAGGGTTATGGAGTGACTCCTTATTGGATCAATCCATATGATTCTAAGGAAATGAGTTGAAAATGCCATCTCACTCCAGACTGTCTTTCCTGGCACCCCAAAATAGCATCTATTCTCCAAATGACACATACTCCCCTGGGCCTCGGTGATTTTGTTCTGATGATTCCTTCTGCCTGGAAATTTTCCTTCTCTCTGTTCATTTGGTAAAAATCCTATCCCTTCTTCAAGGTCTATATCAAATGGTGATGGCCTATCATCACTTTCTGTCTCCACCATTAAGCAGAATGAGTGTCTCTCTCACATTTTAGAGCTTACTGCACATCTGTTTTGCACTCCAGTGCCTGTTCTTTGTAAGTGCATATAACAGTGCCTATTTCAGGGTCTCACAGATAAATATTTCTTTTTTTTCACAGTTGCTACTGATACCCTAAGGATTTATAAACCCAGTACATGTAACTGCTGGCTTAGAAGCAGACTGGAAGAAGACGCTTTATGTCATCAAAAAAAAAAAAAATGGCCTATCCAATACATGTTGTGTTTGGTAAGCCCAAAACTTTCTTAGAGGTACATGCAAAATTCAGTATGAGTAAATCTTTCTTAGTGAGGCCTACATGAGCAAAGAGACTTCATTAAAACGGTGCAAGGTTACTAGATTTAACACATAATGTTTATGACTGCAACAGAAAGACTCAATAAATGATAAGCAAGGACAAGTTTTTTAAAGGTTACAACTACAAGAAATAATTGTACCTAGTGTATTTTTAATTATTGACTCTGTGACAAGTTAACAATGGCTATGGTAAATGAGAATGAACTATGAGTACCAGGTAATAAAATCAATCCATATTCAAATGATATTCATGGAGTTGTTAAGAGTTATTTATACTCAATCTATAGTATAAAAGTGTTAAAGTTTCATAAAGAACACAGTAAAATTATTTATTGGTATGCAAAATTCCATAATATACTATTATATAAATTAAATGTGTTTTTAAAATAGCATTTATAGAAGGGTGATAATTTGTTAAGTATGTGCACACATGTACACAAACATGTATGTAAACAGAAAGAACACATATATGATAACACAGTGACGGTGTGATTTGTCTATGGTGAGGTTACTACAAATAAATTTAATGGTCTGTATTTTGATTCCTTATATTTTCCAAATTTTTTCATACTAAATATTTATTTTCTTGGTAAACAGAAATAACTACATTAAAAATAATGAAGACTCCATGAAGAACCATAACTAGCTGTGCTAGGAAGCCAGAACCTCAAAATGAGCAACCCAGGTTGCATTTTTTATTGATAAATTTTCTTACATTCTGCAGACTCATGGCCCCTTTGGGCATGTAGACTTTCTGTCTGCACTGGACTAAAGCATCAAAGATGCTATGCTGTTCTGTACAGATGAATGAGCAAAAGAGTGTGTTGCCCAAACTCACCCATGTCAGATAAGTTAGTACAAAGAGGTCCTATTCTGTACTCAGAAGACTTTAAATTAATACATGGAATATACTACTAAGTGATGCTGTAGGCAAGTGCTGGGCCAGAGGAGGCATGCTTTATTAACAAGAAACCACTTGCACAAAAAATCATTTGTTTGCCAGTTATACTCATTCATTTAGCAAAAACTCTATGGAACATCTACTGAGTCCCATGCTCTATGTGCTAAGGACACTGCTAGGCAGTAAATCAGACATCAGGTGTATAGATAATGGTGTCTTCTCTTCTCAACAAACTCTGGTTCTCTGAGGGAGATGGGAAATCCAATACGGCAGGTGTTTTGGGGGCCAGAGGAGAAGGAAGGCCCTGATCCATGCAGGGAACAGAATGAAGGGACGTTTAAAAAGCATCTTAAAGAAATCTGCCCATCAGAGAAGAGGAAGAACACTCTGGGCAGGGTTCCAACGATAAGAAAAGCCATAGGAATCAGGTGAAATGGCTAGTAAGGGTGGTTGTAGAGGAAGCTGCAATGTCATTTGGCATTTGATCATGGTATCTTAAAATCCAGTACTTCCCAATGCTTTTCACATTAAGACTCATAGAACATAATAACGATATATTTATATGGCCACTGGGGAAACTGAAGGGCCAGTGTGCAGCTAAGTGACCTCTACAGGCTGAGGGAATAGGCACCTCTAAGTTTCTGCTATATTTTTGAGGTTGGGTGCTTTATTGTAAGCACATAAAAAAGACTGGACTTCTTGCTATAAGGAAGGCTGCCATGATGGAACTTGCATCTTGGAGAGATTGCTCTCAGTGGGAGATGGATGACAGAGGGAGAAGGAAGCAACATTCACGAACTCGTACTTGGAAAGCACATTTTATGAGGCTTACATCGATCTTGGATGTCTTGCAGAAAGCCCCCACAGGGTGGACGTGGTCATAGAGGATGATGACACCCACCATCACCCTCATGCAGAACAGCAGCGCTTCTTCGCTCGTGAACCTGCTCCTATACTCCCTGGAAGAGAGCAGAGGGAGCGGTGGTGTTATTTCCTGGCCCAAGCACGGTCATTTCTTTAGACCCCACCAATCCTCTCATGAGAACAATCCCAGACCTGCAACAACCAGGTTAATATGCTCTTATAGAAACCCATGATGATCATTCTCCTCGAACCTATCCAACCAGCAATTCAGTGAGAAAATAAGGTAAATTAGAGGGCAATAAATACTCTTCTCTTCTGCCCTTCAGCAAGCCAGCTCATCACGTACATCACACCCCCACCCATCAATCTTGAATATTTTATAGCAGGTCTCTCTGGCTGTCCAAGATTATGGAGAATAATGGCTTCATTACAGAGAAAAAGCAAGCTCATTTCCACAGAGCAGCTATCATGTCTCCAGTCAGGGTAACTTCCTTTGTTAAGATATAGGCTGCAGATTAAATTGAATTGGCAAAGATACCTAAAAGAAATGATGTACCATTTATTGGGCTTAGAATACTTGTGAAGTTTGAATTTTGTTCACTTACTTTGATAGGGTCTCTGATGATTCAGATAATTCAGGACAATACTAGAGACTTTCTTAATATCTGTTTCATTATGAATTGGACTCACAAGGAAGACAATTACTGTTTTTGTCATGGAACAAATATTAACTGGTATTAAGTGAAACATTGAAATTAATGCCATCTTACCCTTGAACAGAACCTCAAATTCTATAAGGCAGGCATTCTTGATGCCTTTGGGCCTCACGAACACTCTGCAACTTCATGGCATAATGGGAACATCATCATGTGAGGAAGCCAAGACCACTTGCCTATGGGCCCAGAAGGGGCCACAGACATAAGTGGAACTATGGCTTTTGAATGTGGATTTCTTCATTACCATGCTGCCTCATCCTCCACAACCTCAACCATTTTTTAAATCTAGCAACTAGTTTAAATAAAAAGACAGTGCTGAGAGAGAGAAAGAGAGAGAGAGAGAGAGAGTGAGAGAAAGGAGAGAGAGAGCACTCATCACCACTCCTGTAATAGTCTTACCACTTCTACTTTGGGTCCTAAATCTTCTCTCAAATTTTTTCTCCAGTACATTTATAATAATGCCCAATCATTTCACTTGATCCTCCATTGATTCTTACATAATTTCTATAGCATCTTTCATTTGAGTTTTGGCTCTGCCATCTAACAAGCTACGCAATCTGCAGGAAGTCAGCTCACCAGTTTGGGCCTCAGCTTCTTCAGCTCTAAAATGAGGATAACTATGCCTGTCATCCAGAGTTCTTTATGAAATTAATTCAGATAGTGTATGTGTAAATGCTAATGAGCTGACCCAATGGTCAGATGTCATCATCATCATCATATCGACAGGTTCTGCCTAGGTGAACTCTCAACCACAAATACACCTCTGATGTAACTTACGGCGTTTCCAGCATGACTTTACAAACACTCGTCATCGTACTGAGGCAGTCTGTGGTGTTCTCTATTGGCAGGGTTTTGTTCTAAATGGGAGACACAAATGGATATTAGCCCTGCTGCTGGCAGCTTTTACGCACAATTAAGAAAAAAAGCACCTCGCTGCTGAACTTCACTTACTTCAGAGACAAAGTGCATTGTGGCATTGCTAAGGGTTTTCAGCATTGGTGTGGCTTCTGCATAGAAGAGGGACATTCGATTGGCCATCTCATTATTGACTTCGTTCTCAATGTCTAGCTGATGAAAAAAAGAAGAGAAGATGTGATTGATAAACAGATGATCAAAATCCCCAATGTCCTCTGGAACCTTAATTACAGACAAGGACTCTCTGTCTCCTCCCTGTTCCCTTCTTGATGCAGAAATCAAAGGACATGGAGCTTGGGTGCATAGTCCCAGAAGACCCAGGGACTCACATGCATGTTGTTGATGCGATTGCGACTTATCGTCCTTCTGTAATAGCTGAAGTCATTCTGAATCGCTGGGTTCCTCATCTGAAATTCAGAAGGGAAGAAAGAAGGTCACCTCTCAGCATGAGATGGGGAACATCCATTAGGAGCCCAAACACTAGATGTTGTAAAGACACCAAAACTTTTCTTTGTTACACAAGCTGTCAAAACAATTTCTGGTTAAAAATAAGTACTCAGAGCTTTATCGTTTAACAATATGCCCTGTTTTTATCATAGGAATAGTATATTTGCTCTGAATGAAGAACAAACACTTGAAAAGGTTTTGCCTTATTGCATTAAGCAGATATGGAACTTCTATGTAAAATCACTATCTTAAGTCACTTCTACCACCATGAGTGCAAATTGTCACCACGTTATATGTCCCTCTTGGGAAGAAGCCACACCTCACTCATCTCTCTACCCCCCAGCCCACAGCATTGCAGAGGACCTGTACAAGTAGGGACTCAGTACAAATTTCTTAATGGTCACAGCATACGTGGCCTAACCTTCAGCTCATCAAATCGAAGAGTAAAATGTAGAATTTCCGCGAACTCCTTCGCCAGGGCTTGCTCCCGCTCCAGGTGTTGGGTGGGCGTGTAGGGTGGAGAAGTCAGAGATTCTAATAAACTCTGAAGAGCTTTCTCTGAAAGTCAAAGGGATAAATACATATTTGAGGTGGCCCACAGAGATCCTTCAGAAAGCACAATTTTGCAGCCCCAGATGACGCCCTCAGAGATAACTCTCTTGGGTCTTTCCACGTCTTTCCCCGTAGCCATGTGAAATGTGATGTGTGTGGATGAGGAAGAGAAGGAGCCTGCATGCTGAGCAGGCTGCCCTCGCTGCAGGAGCCCCTATGGCCACACAGGTTTGTGAATGTTTGTCAAAGCTCAGCTGGCCCCTCACCTGTTTGGTAGTCCCAATTCCTAACGCTGTTAGAAAACCACAAATACGCATTTTTGGATCAAGTGCATGAGATAGCCATTCGTGATCCAGGATGAGGTGACGTGGCCCTGAACGCATTGGTTAGGTAACCTGCTTCACGAGGGGAGACTTCAGGTCTCAGCCCAGTTCTTCTCTGCGTGTACGCTCTAACCTAATCAGCAGTATTTTTTCTATCAGCCCACTGCCTCACCTACCTCCATCATTGTCCTTGAAACAGACTCATTATTCCCAATTGTCTATTTCTAACTGTGCCTTCCAGTTTTTTCTCCAATATATTTCTAACAGCACTAAATCATTTACCCAATCCTATATAGCAGAGTTTGGCAAACTATGACCCACAGGCCAAATCTGGCCCACTCTCAATTTTTGCAAATAAAGTTTTATTAAAATATAGCCACATTCATCCCTTTACATACTGATTATGGCTACTTTTTGCTACAATGGCTGTGTTGAATAGTTTTAATAAAGACAGGATGGCCCAAAGCCTAAAATATTTACTACTTGGCTCTTTATAGAGAAGTTTGCCAGCACCTGGCTCTACAGTCTTTAAATGTCTTTTAAGCATTTTTACAAGGGCATTTCTAGCCTTTTCCATCTATGGGAATGTACTGTCATTCGAGGTAGCTAGTTCTACCTTGGCCTGCTCTGACAGGTGGATCTTATTTCTTCTGCTGAGCTGAAATGTTGCTCTGCAGGGTTTCAGCTCATTGGGTCTAGACGTAGACTTTGAGGAAACAGAGAAGTCGATCCCTCATTGACCTGAGAGTCTTCGGTATGTCTCTGTTCCTGAAACACCGGTTTAGTTCATTCATCGACTCTCTTTGGGTTTTAGCTTCAGGTTCTCTGAACGTCGTGGCTATTATTCTCCCCAAGTACTTCAATGTCTCTGTTTTCCTCCTAAAATGTAGCATTCATTTATAGTAAAAGTAGAGGAGGACATGACTCTTTCCTTCCTCGTTCTAGATATATTTATTAAGTAATGAAATCTCTGAGAGCTTTATTGTTGGGGGGTGTGGTTATGCCACATTGGTGGTCACGTTGTGCCTACTGTCAAGCAGACTTGACTTCACTCCTGCTTCTGCAAAGCCATCCTGTACTTTTGTTGTTGTTGTTGCTCTAAAACTGAAGGGCAGAATATTGTGTCTGTTTTTCTTATATTTTACTGTATTCCATTTATCATGTGGCTCCAGCTAACTAAGTTCTTCTTGGGTTAGCAGACAAGCTGTATCTCCCAACTTCTCTATCATCTAGAAACGTAGGATAAAACTGTTAAGAGTTGGACTAAGCCAAGACAAGACCAAAGGGACATACACCAGTAGAGACACTCTACATATGCCTACAACTCAGGAGAAGAGACATAGAGGTGAATTGAAGGACATGAAAATGCCAGAAGTTGGTGTCCATGGGCTCTGAGAAGACACAGCAGATGACTGTGGGGCATTTTCTAAGAATGAGATCTTCCTGCTACTTTTTCAAACATCATAACAGAACTTCACATGTGTGACAGGAAAACTATAGACACGTACTCACCTAGCCTTATGGAAAATTCATAAAATCTCTTTAGCCTCACTACTAGAGGACACACTGCATTCCAAGCTTTTTCTTGAAGCTGAATGTCATTGGGATTTTGAATTGCCTATAAAAAAATCAAATCATAGAATCGTTTCAAAAAGAAGCAGTAAGCTCCACATCAAAATGACTTAAGATGGAGAAAGGATTTTGGTTTTAAAAAATAAAATTTCTAATGTACTTTGCCAATGTGAACTTTTAAAATTGACACCAGTTCATCGGTCTGTTCTCCAAGATGCTCAATCAGAACGGAGGTTTTAACACTTGCATATAACGCAAACGACTCTATAATTAGATCCGTGTCAATCTACTTGTTTCTCTTATCCTTAATGTAAAAAAATACACATCTAATTGGAAGCAATTCAACCCTCCTCCATCACCACTTATTGTTCTAAAGTAGCGCTATTGCTCATTATGAAGTGTAGATTCTGTAGATATTTTTCTTCCTCTATAATGTATATTACATCCCTGCCAGTCTGTGATGTTACCTAAATTACCTAAATTAATGGTGACCCCTTAAGTAGAAAAACAACCTTTTAACAGGGTGTTACTTTTCATAGAAATGCTGTTTTGTCTGGGTTTCAGCAGCTTGAGAATTATGATGTTAGTGGTGTTTTATTTTTTTCTTTTTTTTCCAGAAGGATGATGGCAGTGGCAGTAAGGGGTGTGTGCGTGTGTATATGTGTTTGTGTGTGCGTGTGTGTGTGTGGATACCTCCACAAAACTAATTATTTTAAATAAAAGGAGTGTGAAGTTTCTTGCCTTTAAGGCATTATGAAGTCTCAAAAGCCATACTGACAATTTCCCTTTTTGTTTTGGCTGTTGTTTTGTTTTTCATGTATTTATGTATTTTTTTAATTGCATAAGTCAGTTCAAAATGACAGATCTGCAAGCTACTTAAAGTGAGATAGTTTATGACTGCTGTTTGTGATGCTGGCGGAATCTGTCAAAATTATTACAAAATGTTGGAAAGTTCATGTAAACCCAGACTTCATGACTCATATTTTGACTGCTGTTCATAAACTTTATATGTACATTTCCCTCAAATGAAGTAATAGATTGACAAATAATTGTTTAAATGTGAGTCCTGCAATATCACATGCATGGCTAGGAAGAGGATGCTAATATTTTATATAGTCCACAGCACTGTGTGCTCAGATTAATGTACTAGAATAAAAGAGGCCATTCATACACTTCTATAAGGGCACATGGCCCACCTTGTTCTCCTTCCTACACTAGGAAATACTAGGTCTGTAACTTAATCTCGCAGTTTGTGTGTGTGTGTGTGAGTTTCCTGTCCCCTCCAAGGGTGTTGTCAGCTCGGCATAGTCATTGGCATACGTCTCGGATCTCTGGGCCCGCGCCCTTGTAAGCCTGCAGGTCTGCGAGGATGCTCTCGGAATCCTGGAGGACAGCACTGATCTGGTTCCATATTTCCCTCTCTCCTTCTGTGGGCTGGGCATCTGAGCAGAAGGGAAAGCAAAAGGCACAGAGAGTTTGTGTTGACAAACAGCTGGGAAGAAGGATCAGCGTTCAGTCCACTTGCTAGACAATCCTGTTTTATTCCTGCAGGTTTGGTATTTACCCTTTAACATAATAAGCTGCTGGGAAAGGAAAACTAATACAACTTCTGCCCACTACTCAGTTCAAAACAGTCATTAATCTTTCTGCTCACATTAAACCAAGCATGTTGAAATCATTGTAGGCGCTCCTTTACTTATTTGTGTAGAATATACTTTTTGCATATCTACTAATGTGCCAAGTGGGACAGACGCTGGGTGATCAAAGATATAAACATTGTCCTTTTGAATCCACTTTTAATAGAAGAAGCTATTGAATATTTTCTATTAGGATTGAAAATCCGTGAGTCTGAGGATAGATGAAAATATCATCTTCCTTATATGTTTCCATATAAAAAATAAGCTTAAAAGATTAGATAATTATCCTTTAGAGTACAATGTAGAAAACACTGAGATTTTTCATTGAATGTGAACTCAACAAGTACAGAGAATTCATTATAAAGACACCTGTACTGTTGGTCTTTGGCGTTGACTGTGAATGTCACCCACAAAAACAGGTGACATATTTAAGCTTGCATAAATTAAAATATATATTCTAGCAGTCACAGAAGCATCCCCTTAGCTCCTCAGTGAATTCCCACTTGATTACATTTCTGTAACCAATTTATGTTCTTTTTCTCAAGAATACTTCATGGGGTCTGGCGGGTGGAAGTTGAGCATGGTAAATATTGGGTTTGATTTATTTCATAATACTTATAAAATAGATGATTTGTCTGAGCTAGTAAGAAAATTAATCTCCACGTAAAACAAAGGCAATGTAATGAAGAAAAGAGATAGACACATCTCCTAAAATTCCATTTGCAAAAATCCAAGTCTCAAGGTACTAAATTCTCTCTGTAGACCTCACCAGCGACGGGGCAGAATAGAGTAATGCCTAGTCTAACACTCCCCAGCTCACATCTCAGTTCTGAGTAACGCTGGGAGCAGTGTTATTCTGGGGACATAAAGGCAGAATTCATATGATAGGTGATAACTAAGCGAGGCACTGACCAAGCTGACTGGGCCTTTGGAAGGCAGAGCGTTGGAGTACCCCGACTGGAAGGCCGGATGTGGCTGCTCTTGCTTCTGTAATCATTTGCGGGCACCACACTAATCCAAGGCGAGGCCTTTGAGAAGTGATGCCCACGGGGATTTTTAGACCATTTTACTTACCAGGTCCTTCTTAGACCTAAGAATTGGTAGTAACATCCCTTGGGAAATGAAGGGTGTGATTCTCTTTAGAAAGACAAGAACAAACAACGTAGATCCTGTAGATTACCCAGACATTTTGCAAATCATAGCTCTAGGAATGAGATAAATTTCAACTAAGGAATGAGGAGGGACTAAAATAAATACACACCAGGGTTGAAAGAAGAAAATAATGAGTGCGGGCTGGGAGAAGTGGAATCTACTTAATGTAAGGGATGGGACTTGAGTTGGTCGGATGGAAGGCGAAGGGAACGCATCCACGAGGAACATGAGAAAGGCTCGGCAGCTGTTGAAAGCAAGGCTGGGCCTGGAGGAGAGAGACCTGCGAGGTCAGAGCACAGCATCCAGTCTGGGGAACAGAGGGCAAAAGAAACACACTGCTTTGTTATCTTTTGTGACCTTCCACGGTCTCCCATAGGCACTTGGTAAGTGTTCTCAGGTACAATATTATTCACAATATTAACCACTTTATATCTTATCTTTTCCTGCTTTTCCAAACTTTTCTCAAAGAGGTATGGGTGTCTTCAAAAGAAACCTAAAAACCCACAAGTTAGGAAGACTGAAACTGAAATTTCAGTGGAATAAAATTTCTGGGTAATGCTGGCAATTTTCAAATAAGAAGAAAGTCAGGGAAGAGAACATATGACAAAAAATGCAAAGTAAAGATCCTAGAAAACAAACGAAAATCAAACGCCCATTAACTCAAATCCTTTCCCCTTTTGATGGATGCATTGAAAAAAATCACAAGCTAAACAAAGTCAATTTCCTAAAGAGATATATATTTGAAAAGGAGAAAAAAAAGTAGAGTCTGTGACCAAGATTCCATGGGGTAAGTCTGTTTGTTTGAATATAATTATAAAGTAATGTGTAAAAGAAGAAGTCACTTAGAGGCCAGAAAAGGAAGCCTTCTAATCTTGGCTGTCACATGGCTCTGTCTCAGCAAGTCACCACTTGATAAGTTTTAAACAAAACAGAATTAAAGCTGGAAGAAGAGTGTGCTGGAAAAACAAAACCCCAAATCCCATCCTTTTGATGACGACTTAAACACAAAAGGAGAAAGATTTCAAAGTCGACTTTTTAAAAATAGAGGTCTTTTTTTTAGTACTTCAAAAAATAAGACAGTTTCCGATAGAGTGGCCTACACGTGGTACTGGCTACAGATAAGTGAGCTTCTCTCTCCATCCCAGGTGAAGTGACACTTTCTGATACAAATCAACATTGACCTTTATGAGAACACGAAGAGCTGGACAAGGAACATGAGGAGTGTGTGCTGTCCCTTCTCTCCCACAGGCAGCAGAGTTGGGGGTGGTGAATACCTTCCAACATACAGTGACTCTCCTGGCGGCTGGCATGACCTGTGAAACAGGACCCTCAGTGCCCCGCTTCCCTCCCTGGGAAAATGTTTCTTTTGGCATACATCCTAGTGTCCTATTTGAAATGTTTCTCGAGGTGGGAGAAATCCAATCCATCATTTCTCCTTTCATCGTAACTTAGAAATGAGTTGGCTCATTTTCTTCCATAATTTGTTAGTCTTATTACATGCTCTATTTTTCCCTCCTTCCCCTGTCATGGAACTGAAGTCACCTCTTCTTCCAGCTGATAATTGGGCTCTTGGTGCCAGCAGCATGGTCCTCGCTTTCTGGGCCAGGGAGCTGTGAGATTCTCAGGAGACTAAAGTCTCAAGTGGCATCAATTTTCAAGGTAGAGAGAGTGCTGACTGGGAGAAGCTCTAGTTCGTCTGTTTCTTCTTTAAAATGGGAAAAGGACAGTGTAACCCTAAGTGGCATCTGAAATTGGCCCATATCCATGTGGAAGTCCATATTCATCCTATTTTTATCTTCTAACTAAATGATCAGTCAGGACTAATGAATGAGAATCTGATCCATTGGACCATAGGACTCTGGTCTTATTTGTTTTGATATTATATCTCCAGCAAGTGCCTGACACATAGATGCTCAAGAACAATTTGTTAAATGGTGGAATGAATGCTTTAAATACACTTCTCACACTATGTTTTGTGATAATTTTCCTGCTTGTCTTTGACTTCTGCGATCTTTGAAGGCAGAGTCTGTATTCTTGTCCTAGATGCCCCCATACGCCTTACCAATCGAAGACACTCAATAAACATGTCACAAATCAACGAATACCTGAGGAAACTGACCAGGTGACAGAGAATGTGGGTGTTGGGAAACAGTGAAGAAAATGAAGATTTTATTAATTCTAGATGTTCTATCACTTCTCCTCTAATGGCTGTTATATCTCTCACCGTTATCATTAAGATATGTGTATTTTTCAACAAAGTGGCTATTCACACTTTCATTAACACGTGTGTTTTTAAATTACCTTCATTTATCTATGGTCTCGGTGTTCCCTCAGAGAGGTTAACACACTGATAGGATATTTGTTGAGTGAAAAACTGCACTTATGTTTACTCCACCAATCCTAAGGCTATTATCATTTTGCTTTCTGAAATATTCCTTTGAGAGGCTTTAGAGTTTATACTTTTGAAATTCTTCATATTCGCATTTGTTTGGGAACCATGTTTTTAAAACGTATTGTGTCTCAGATGTCAAGGAGAGATATTTTGAAAAAGACCTTGAAGAATTAGTAATTGGAAAGGTTACTAAGCTTAACCTGTCAGCAACCTCCTAAAGTATTTGCTGAGTCGACAGAAATTCTGAATTATGGGTTTTATTTTTCTATTTTAACACGAAGATTTAACACGAAGTCAAAGGCACACACACACATGCCCACCAATAAAATTACTGATGGAAATGGGTGTTTACTTCCTGTTGCAGCCTGTGAATTCTTTGGTGATGTTTCTTCTAAGAATTACATTCTAAACTTCTAATCATCACCAATGATTTCCTTAGAATTTGAGGAGAACAGTTACATAAAGCCACACTGCTCTTGCCTAACAATGAAGCTGTTAAAATCCTTGTGATTTACACAGGCAATTTCAGAAACCAATACTTCTGGGAGCCCTGAAACGAACCCATCCAGGCCATTCCCTGGGCAATGATTTAGACCCCTGTCCTGTACTTGTTATTGTGGAAAGTGTGAACATGTATCACGTGCCCTGTGACCTCGAATACATGCATTCATTGTCAAGAACGCACTGAATTCCAAGTGCCTCAAATTTTTAGTGAAAAAAATTCCCCCACCAATTAAGGGAGATAAACAGTATTCATTTTCTTTGCAAGAGATCTATTTATCCTCCTTTGGCTCAATTCGTTAGTGATAGTGAATAGTAACTGTCAGCATTTTGGTGTCACTGGGGTCAGGTGGAGGTTTTGCTATAGAGGACTCTGATATTTACTGAAAGCAGAATGCTTGGCATTCCACCGTGGGGATGAAGAGGAAGGTGGCTATGTGTTTTGTTTGTCAGGAATGAACATCTTCCATGAACATACCCCAGGGCGTGACAGCAGGGCTCAAACCAGAGCAGGGCTGTCACATCAAAGGGTTCTTATCTTTGTAAATCAGCCAAGGATGCACTCTGTCTTTACAAGCAGCAGGAACATACATACCTTCTCCTAACAACCTATGTGGGACCGTATGGAAAATCTGACAGAGAATCAAACAAATTAACCGAAGATAATGTAAGGAGAAGACACAATTTATTTGGAGACGTCTCTGGCTTTGAAGTAAGCCCTGGCATTTCATCAATAGGATATATCGCTATCTCCTCACCA